TTAAACTTAACATATTATCTGATTTATATTTTTCTCTCAATCAATGGTCATCTCCTTACCTCCATTGTTTTCATTTATCAACATCACTCCTCAGGTATGATATAAAAGTTTATAAACTGGTCAGAGGGCGTGCTTCTGTTTTCACCCCTACAGGTCCGCTGTGGGTCCCTGCTTGCTGCATCAGCCCTGTCCATGGGGTGGCATCAAGGACTGAACAACCCGATCCCGCGGTCCCAAAGTCATCTAGCCTTAATAGATGCCAACCACCATGGCCCTCTGCCGAGAAAGTGAAGAAGAATGACATGCCCTGAGGAACTGGTCCCCTGGGGAAGCCTGAAAACGCCTATTAATGAGGAGCAAGATGCTCTTGTGCCCACCCCCTAAGGATTTACTTTAGAGAGATTGTTCTTGATGATCTGTGCTAAAATCACAAAGAATTCTATGTTATCCATACTTTGTTGATATGCTGTGCTTTGCCGCTTGGACTACTGGCTCCTCTGTTCAATACGCATGAAAATGTGCGGATTCAGATGGCCTCCTCCCTTAATACCTCTTCTTTTTGTCTTGAACAGGATCTTAATTTACAGTACGTACTGGGCGCCTGCCTCTGAGCGGTCTGTAAGCCTGCTGAGGATATCAGAAACATAGCCTTCCTTAGACATACTGATACCAGAGCTGCACTTACCAGGACTTGCTCACTGGGGACCTGCATCGTATGACACTCCTTCAGGAGCATTAGACTTTATTACCCATAAAGTAATAACACCACCCAATAACACCTGCGTGCGATTTGTAATCTGCACCGGAGCCAAATGCCATAAATTGTTGGGTAACTTAAGCCGCTCCAATTATGATGAATATATTTCTAGTCATAGTAACATTTAACTACATTCCCGCCAGTCTCTCTAATGTCCCCTGTTTTGTTTTTTATGCTAATTTCTCATTTTTTTAATATTAATTTTATTGAGAACTCTGTTGTTGAAGTAGACTGGCTATGATGCTTCCTTCCCAAACTGATCTGACTCACCCCCAAGCACATAATCTTATCCATCTACGTTGGCCCAGAGACATTTCTAGAATACCACTGCCCCTACCTGTGATGATAAGGTTACCTAAACTGACAGGACATACTGGGTTTCTGCCTCTGACCGTCTGTAAGCACCTGGCAGATGCGGAAGCTTATGCTATGATATTCAGTATTGCAGGCAATCTATTCTTTGGAGAAATAGCTGGAAAACATGTTCAACAGTTGGGATGTCAATTAGCAAAGGCTCGAAATACCACATCTGCTGCTACTGCCTTGCTGATATGTGGAACAAAAGAAACACAGACAAGTCTTCATAGACAACCGAGTTGCCATCGATTACCTGCTTTTATTTCATCCCCAGGGATGTGAAAAGGTAAAAAATGTGTTGCTTTAATTTATCAGATAATAGTCAACAAATACAAAACAAGTAGACATTAAAAGAACTAGCCTTACAGATTCAGCAAAAGGAAGGAGGATGGGATTTGTTTGATTGGCTAGTACAATGGATTCCTGGAAATGGTTAAAACAAATATTTCTTATGTTTATACCCCACTGTTGTGGAATAATTTTCATTTGTTGTATCCCACAGTGTATTTCCTTATGCTGTAATTATTGTAACCCTATGAGACAAATCTATTTATTAAACAAACAAAGAAAGGAGAGATGTTGGGATAAGGAGGAGTCAAAACAGAGGTGTGCGGAATGACCTGCAGGGCACGTGGGAGAAGGAACAGAAAAGCAGAACTGCAACAGCAGAGGGAGTAACCGAGAACACCTGGAGCTCCTCAAGGACATCCTGTTTTGTGTCCTTGCTCCCAGATGCCTGGCAGGATCCTAGCTTAAACATTAACAGTACGTGTTGCCCAAAGACACACACAGCAAGATCATGTTATGATCACCGCCAGTAGCCTAAAGGCTGAGAGACAATATATAAAGTCCAGTCCAAGGAGAGAGCAGCAGCCTTTGCTCCAGCCCTCGCTCTGCTTTCACTGGGGGCCTGTGTGTCCTTGTCTACGGCCAGCACCCACCCTTCCCTGCAGAGCTAATGCAAGAGAGCTAAAACTTAGAAGAAAACACACACGCGAATCTGTTACGACTGTGGGCTGGCAATAACTTCTTAGATATGACAGTGTTAGGGTTTGCATCTAGGTGTCGGCCCCAAAGCCCCATGCAGGCACGGGGCAGGCAGCTTCTAGAGTCTGTGCTTAATTCCTGATCCAATGCTGGGATTACGGGTGTGAGGGCTACCTCTGCCCTGGGACAGATAATCCAGACTACAATATAAGGACGGGAGAGGCCTGCCGGCTGCTGCAGCCTGTGTTCCTCCCTTGCTCTCGGCAGTTTTCTGCTGCCATGGGTGGCTGCCCCCTGCCACGTGCCACTCTGCCTTGCAGCCAGCAGAGTATGGGCTGAAACCTCTACAACTGTGAGCTAAAACCTTTCCTTCCTTAATTCTGGGTTAGGGCATTCTTTCCCAACAATGAGAGAAAAGTTACTAAGACAGATGCTAAATGCAAAAACAACAAAAATATGAATTTCTCAATAAGTTTTGTCCCTCAGGGAATACCATCAAGAATGGGAAAAGACAACACAGCATGGGAGAAAAATACTTGTAAGTCATGTATCTACTAAGGGAGTTTTATCTAGAAAATATAAAGAGCTCTTATGACTAAGTGATAAGAAAGACAAATAATTCTATTTCAAATATATGAAAAAATTTGAAAAAAGGGCCAGCCTGATAGATCAGCAGACTACAAAGCCTGCTTAGGCACAGCGCATGCCACGCCAGCCCCGCCCCCAGGGCACACTGACCTGTGGACTGAGACTGGGTGTGGTGGCGCGTACCTGTAATCCCAGCACTTGGGAGGCTGAAAACAGGAGGATCACGACAAGTCCAATCTACGTAGTAAGACCCTGTAGACCCTGTATCCCCTGTACGAAATGCATAAAAAAAATTTTTTTGAAAGTCTTCCAACACATAAGTAGCTAATAAGAACATGATAAGCTGCTTAACATCACTAGCTCTGAGGAAAATGGCTATGTCAATTGAAAGTACAATGACATTTCAGATCCACTGGGATGGTTAAAATAAAAAGAGTAAGTGTGAGTGAGAAAGTGAAGAAGCCGGAATCCTTAGCCACTGAGAGGAGCGCGAAATAGTGTAGCTACTTTGGTAAACAGTCTGCCAATTTCTCAAGTGATGAAATGCAGAGCACACGTGGCCCAGAGAGTCTCCTAGTTATGTATCCAAGAAAAATGAGAACTACGCCCACAGAAAGACATGCACACAGATCCTAGCAGCGGCTTTATTTAGGATATCCTGAATGCAGAAGCCACCTAAATGCAATTAACTGATAAATGGGTAGAAAACTGCTATATCCATTGAGTGGGCTGCCGCCAGCAGTAAAAAGCATGAAGCACTGACACCTACGACAGGATGAACCTTGACAGCATCGTGGTAAGTAGGAGGAGTCAGGCACAAAGGACCACAGGCTGCACAAGTCCACCAACGTGAACTGTTCAGAACAGACAAAGCGATAGAGACAGCAGGTCAGCGGTTGCCCGTGCCGGGGGATGGGACAGGTGAAATGAGCGTGGATTGCTGAGAGGTTCAAGGTTTCTGTTTCGGTCAAGTCTCCTCAAATTGATGGTAGTGAAAGTTACACAACTTTGAACACACGCCCTGGAACTGTACACTTTAAAGGGTAAATCTTGGGGTACGTGACATGTATCATAACAAAATTGTTACAGCTCTGGCCCTGCACCATACATGTCCTCCTTGCACATGCCCAGTCCTCCCCAGCCCAGGGTCCTACGGCTTCCCATATTGCCATGCGTGCTGTAGTTTCATGCTACACTATATTATAATCCTCAGTGTAAAGCTCTAGCTGTCCAGTCTAAGTATATGCTGGGAAGTACTCAATAATAGTTTTTGAATACTTTCCTTTAAATTCTAGTCTAGTCTAAGGAATAAACATAGACAATCCAAACCATCTTTGCAAGGCATCCTCTCAAATCAGAATTACAGGTCAAGGAGCACAAGCACCTCCTTTCACAGAGCCCAAACAGCTTTGGGGCTAGAATGCATTTTATTTATTAAATTTGGCTCAAACTTTCCTCAAAGAGCTGCACTGAACAAGCACTTCTGCCTATTTCTCTCCCTTCCTCCTTCCGTTTTTGATGCCGCAGATCGAACGCAGGTTGCCTCAGGTTACTAAGCATGGGCTACCTCACTGACCTGTATTATTAGCCCATTTTCTTGTCATTTTTTTTAGTTGAGCTCTCAGACTCAACTGGAATTTATAAACATTTTAGGCACAGGGGTTGTCTGATCACAACAGCGATAATCTAAAATAAGGAAATGGCTAACTTATGGTACAGCTTAGTAGACGATGTTTCCACAGAGTTTATAATATCAATGAGGAAAGCATGAGAAAACTGTATGGGCAGTAGGCTAATCCATCCTGTGTCCTTCGGCTAGTGTGCTCTGCACCGCTAGTGAGCGTCCTTAGTGTCCTTACCAAGTGGCTGCGGAAGGTCATTTTATATCGGTACGGCTGTTGCCAAGGCTACAAATGAGGAAAGCTGTATTTGGCTGTATTTGTGTGCAGCACTAACTTTCTGACTGCTAATGTATGTTTCTGCTTGCTGGGCCTTGTTATGGCTTTTTTTGTGTGGTGATATGTTTTATGTTCTCTTGTAAAAAAAAAACAAACAAAAAACCCTGTACAGATACACACACACACACACACACACACACACATTTGAACAATATGCAAAAACTGTCTAACATAGAAAAAACCAGATAGGATGGCATCAACATGTAGACAGTAGTTGTTTGTGAATAGTGGATTTAAAGTAGATTTGTTTCTTTGTAGTATTTTGTGTTTTCTAAAGTAAGTATAAGATATTTTATTTCTTTTTAGAAGGCTGATGAGCTGAAGGTATGACTGATAGAAGAAAGAGGGCTTACCTAGAGAAGTGACGCTGCCATAATTCTCCAGCATCACGTCCCAGTACAAGGCTCTCTGGATTGGGCCCAGGCATGCCCATTCCTCTGCAGTGAAGCATACCGAGACCTCCTCAAACATCACCAACTCCTGAAACGAGAGGTGTACGGGAGATTACCAATACCTAGGGCTCCCCTACAAATGGTGTCTTCTCCCTTCTGGGGACAGAATACAATGTGAGGTCACAAGGTAAGACTCAGATATCAAGGAGAACAAAGGGGACCCTCTGTGAAGTCTGTCTCCCCACAGACAGCCCTTGATGTGGAGACAGGCACTGACAGGGCAGCCCAGCAGCAGGACAGTGGCCACTGCAGCGGCAATTCAACAGCGTGAACAGAAGGAAGGAGGGCGCCAGGCTTACCTGTGGCTGGGCCGTCAGGAGCATGAGGGCCATTAATTGATTCCGTGGGTTCTCTTCCTGGGAAAGGGGAGCTGCTTCAAGGGCAGGAGAATCTGCAGAGGGAAACCAACTGTGGGTGAGATTCCCATCACTGTTATCTCCCTCCCAAGTCTAATACCATGGACAAATCAGGGTCTCATAATGACCCCAAACACCCACGCTGAGGCAATGATGGCTACAAAGGGACTACAAACCTTCTCTGAGTGACACCTGTGTGAAGGGCAGGAATAATCCAAGTGTGGCAATAAGAAAGGATGCAGAACCAGAGGGACAAGGAGAGACAGGAGGGCTGATGGCAGGCAGCATGGAAGGAGACCGGGACTGTACAGGATACCTGCACAGAGCAGGAGAGGAAGCACTGCCCACAGAAGGTTCTGGAAAGGGACGCACCATGCAGAGGATCCTGGAGACTGAAGACCACTGGGTCTGGAAGAGCATTCCGGTGGTTTCTGGCTGCTAAGTGGCTCCTGGGAGGCGCAGGAGGAAGTGCTGCTCCTGGAGCACCGGACCCCTCCTGGCCAGCGTCCTGGTTGTGGACAAGTATGGGAACCTGGGGACAAGCCAACGTACAAGCAGTTCGCTCTTGTTCCTTTGGAAAATGGGCTCGCTTATCAACCATGGACCTCTTTCTGTCCTCAGTCAAGAACTGAGAGGTCAGAAAGACCCACCTGGAACGTCGAGCCACAGAAGAGCAGCAAAGCTTTGCATGGGGCAGAAGAGAGCTGTCCTCCAGCCCTTCTCTGGGCACTGTGACCTCTCCAGGGGAGGCGGCACAGGACGGGAACGGAAGCCAGCCTGCATGAGTTCGGGAGGGGATGCAGGCACCAGGCAGGAACCGAGAGCGTGGACCTAGCTTCAGGCCTAGTTTTACGTCAGACTTGGGTTCAGTCCCATCTCTTCTACTATTTACTCTTTCACCGTCGTTTACCTAGACCTTCCTGCTCCAACACAAGTAACACTGCGGTGAGTGCCCAGACACATGGGTTTGCTGCTAGCGAGCTACATGTCTAACCTATGGCAACCCACCGAATCTTCCTGCTTCAGTTTTCTTATCTCTCAAATGAAGAGCATGTTTTAGTGACCTATAATGAAACACACAGCTCTAAAGTCTTCAGTTTTAGATTAAAATAAGTCCCCTGCTTTTGTTTTTCTGAGACAGGGTCTTACCAAGTACTTTGTACTTGTCTTGAATTCACTATATAGCCCAGGCTGTCCTTGAACTCTCTGAGAACCTCCTGCCTCAGTTTACCAGATGCTGGAATTACAGGTGTGCAGCACTGTCCCCAGCACAAACCCATTCTTGATGCCACTGCCATCTGAGTTATGGCGGAGACTTCTTACACAGAAATGCCTCCAGTGGGCCAAAGATTTGTAGAGAGATCTCACCCCCACAGGATTCCAACCTGAAGGTCAAGGAGACAGTCTCATCAGAAGTACCTTAACCTACCCCCTTGTCTTCCAGGATCCTAGCAGGTCACACGACGGGGTCACCCTGGATGTGGAAAGCTTGCCACATCACTGCCTTTCACACTCCAGGCTTCTGTCACTATTCCAAACAGCCGCACGGAGACAACCCACAAGGACATAAACAAAGTGAACCAAGAGTAAGCGTCCCCCAGGGGAACAAAGTGGGATTAATGCTTATGTGTTATTTCTGAGTCAGAACAAAATACCTAATTGATAAACCTACGTCTTTGCTAATATAACCTGGGATCTGAACAGCTCTCAAAGCTACTTTAATTAGCACTAGGTTGCTTATGAGCCACTAATTGCTACTGAACATCCCCGCAGCACCCACCAGGCGGCCTTGGTTCTTTCCTTCCCAGCACACACTCCCACGCCAGCCCTTCTCACCGTTTGCGCGGCTCCACCCAGGTACTCTTGCAGCTCCTCTACCAGGGTCACGACGTCCTCACCACTTCCAGGCCGATGGAGCTGCACCCAGGTCCGGAGCTCCCCCGGAAGGATGCTCAGGAACTGCTCCAGCACCAGCAGCTCTAGGATCTGGGCCTTAGTGCGCGTCTCTGGCCGCAGCCACCGGCGACACAGCTCCCGGAGCTGGCTCAGGGCCTCCTGGGGGCCAGAGGTCTCGTGGTAACGCAGCCGTCTGAACTGCGTGTGCGAGGTTTCCCACACGGAGGGGCTGCTGCCTGGGTAGCTGGCTCCCCATTTCCAGGTGTCATCCTTCCCTTTGACAAGGCCTTCTTGCGGCAAAGCATTGTGGGCCCAGTTCTCTCTAGTCATTGCTGTGTTTTAAGAAAGCTTCCTCTCCAAGTCCTCTTAATTTTTGCTTGACTTCTTAGAGCTTGAAGAATACAATTTCTAAGGCCTCAAGAAATCATTGCGCAAGAAGTGACGCAGCTTTCCCCGGCAGTCCCCACGTGAACAAGAACGTCCTGCACCCGGGCTCAGGGCTGAGTCTGCTCCTCTGGCAGCCACGCTCTGCCGCAGGCCCTGGGTACAGACACCGCTGAAGCTGGCGCGTGGAAACGCTGGCCTTTATTCAAAGGCTGTTCCAACGTGCTACAAGGAGCTCTGCACCACTTACGTGGGCCTCCTGGATACTTGCGTAGCTCAACACTTTATCCCACTTCTCGGCCTTCATTTTGTAACCTAGAAAATAGGAAGGACAGCAGTTCCTACCTTATAGGGTGGTGAGACTATGACATCAGAACATTTTTCTTTGTATTTTAGGGAACGGTCTACAGGGTGTTCAGGGTCTCACTACTAGATCAGACTCTAGTGATCTGCCTGTTTACAGCCTCCCAAGTGCTGGGATTACAGGCGTGCACCACCACGCCCAGTCTCAATCCCAGGCCCCTGCCTCTGCTTGCAGGTGCTTTAATCCGCTGAGCTATTTGGGTGGCCCTCAGAACATTTTTCTTTTCGTGTGTGTCTCTGTGTGTGTCTTGCATGTGAACTCAGCCTTTTTTTTTTTTTTTTTTTTTTTTTTTGGTGGAACGGGGAATTGAACTCAGGACCTTGCGTTTCCTAGGGAAGTGTTTCCCAGGAAGCCATCTCCCCGGCCCAAACTTGAACTCAGCCTTTGAAATGAGCTACATCCACACCCTTTTATTTTTTTAAATTCTGAGACAGGGTCTTACTGAGTTGCTAAGTGCCCAGGCTGGGCCTGAAATGTGTTTCTCCTTCTTTAGCCTCCCAGAGTGCTGGGCTTACAGGCATGTGACACAGTGCCTGGCTCGAGATGTATGTCAAGGGGGGTGTTGTTTGTTTTGTTTATGCACAGCTGGGAACTGAACCCAGAGCGGCATTCTCGACCAACGCTCCAGCCCAGAGCTGTACCTCCATGTTCTAAGCTTCCTAACAGCGCCTGACACACGGACTCAAATGTTAGTGGTCCTTCTACACCAGCTTGCTTTCCTACACTCGGCACAGGCAACAAGTAAGCGCAGTCATAATCTGGATGTTTACGGAAAAAATACTAACAATTAGCAAAGAAAGACTGAATTAAGTTCTGTGTAACTTTGCTCTACTTTTAATTCTTTGAAAATTGTTCATTTGGTTAATCTAAATATTTGGGTTACTTTGTTTTTGTAATTTTAAATATATAT